ATGTAAGAGTGATCCTGTGTAATCTGCTGCATGGAGGAGTGCTGTTCTAACAGGAGGAGGGAGAGCATGGCACAGCCCACACCTCCTCCCCACTTGTGGTGCATTTGATATAAATATATGTCTGTTTTATTATTTTTTTTCTCAGACTTACAGGAAAGGATCTGTTTGTTCATTTGTCTTAAAAGCAGAAATCAGGTTACTTTTGAATGCTTGAGTGGACTTCTCAAACACATGCCTTGGTAGAAATTACGCAAGCTGTCTTCTACAAGGAGAACTTTTGATTCCATTGTTGTATGCTGGGCTCTTCTTTTGTTCCACATTGAATTATGTAACTGACATCAACAACAGTGCCATCTAGAGGTCAAATTGGAAAATGTTTCCCCCATCAACATACAGTATTACAAAAGGATACCGCCATGTGGGATTGACTACCCAAAACTTTTCAAATAAAAAGTCAGCAAGTTAAGCTGATAGGAGGACTCTAAGATGACTTAACACCAAGGGAAATTTCTAACTGAAGAAGAAAATATTTTTGTCTGATCTCCTGCAACTGCTGTAGAGTAAGGCTGGGTCCTTGTTACCTACAGAGATGGTGAACCCGCTCTAACCTGAGTTAAGTAACCTGTTAGCATATTTCCATTGTAGACAGAGTTGCTTATTTGCTAGGAAGTTGATAGTAGTTTTCTTGTTATAGGTATATCTGTCAGTCTGTAATTCAGTATTGTATTCCTGTTTGCATTAATATATCACAGAGGTCTAATCTTTCTTGCTTAACCACATGCCGACTGCAGGTAGCCGAATGACAGCTTCCCTGTGGCAGGCCAGTTCTGGAAGGCCGTCATTACGACGTCCTTCCAGAACATGCCCTCCCGTGCTCCCCCAGGGGTGCACACCTGGTGATCCCATGATTGCTGTGTCCTACAGCTGATCACGTGATGTGGTAAAAGGTCAATCACGGCGGCCTTTTACCACATGGCCAGCCATGTCCGATGACACGCTGATCACCGGGAAATGCAATTGCCGGTTCTCGGCTGCACTTTCCTCACGCTGTCAGAGCGTGAGGAAAGTACTGCCAAGAACTGGCAGTTGTCAGAGCAGGGATCGGCACCAATCATCAGGGCACTGATGATCAGTGCCCTGATGATCGGTGCCCAGCAGTGCCACCCACCAGTGCCTCTCAAAAGTGCCCAGCAGTGCCACCCAAATGTTCCCCCATCAGTGCCCACCAGTGCCCATCAGTGCAGCCCAGCAGTGCCACCCATCAGTGCTGCCCAGCAGTGCTGCCAGTCAGTGCCCAGCAGTGCCGCCTATCAGTGCCGACTATCAGTACCCATCATCAGTGTCGCCTATCAGTGCCGGCTATCCGTGCCGCCTCATCAGTGCCGCCTATCAATTGCCCATCAGTGCCGCCTATCAGTGCCCATCAGTGCTGCCTATCAGTGAACATCAGTGCCACCTATCAGTGCACGTCAGTGCTGCCTATTAGTGCAGCCTCATCAACGTACATCAGTGAAGGAGAAAAATTACCTGATTGAAAAATTTTATAATAGAAACAAAGAAACTTCTTTTTTTTTTTTTAATTTTTTGCTCTTTTTTGTTTATAGAGCAAAAAATAAAACATCCAGTGGTGAGTAAATACCAAAAGAAAGCTCTATTTGTGAGAAAAAAATGATAAAAATTTCATATGAGTATAATGTTGCATGACAGCGCAATTGTCATTCAAAGTGTGACAGCGCTGAAAATTGGCCTGGTAAGGAAGGGGGTATAAGTTCCTGGTAGCCTGGTAGGCAAGTGGTTAAAATACAAAGTAACTTTACTAGACAGCAAAGCAAAACACCAGTCTGTAGCGATTTCCCAGTTGTAAGTTTGGGGTGGGTGGAATTTACAGGTGGAGGAGTTGTACTGGGAACACAGTGTAGGGAGGGAAGGAAGTAAGGAAAATTTTTGTTTGGGTTTGGATGAGAGGTTTGTGGATGAGGGAGGATAGGAGGGGTTATTTATGCTGGGAAGGGTAATTTCGGGGGGCGGGGGTTGCTAGGAGGAGGAATGTAGGGGATATGTTCTAGAATGAGGGATTGTAGAGAATTTGTGCTAGGAGGGGTTGGTGGATTTAGGTTAAGAGGGGGAATGACCCCCTGTACCCTGCCCTAATGGCCCCTGTACACTGCTGTGCTGACCACCTGTCCTCCGTCCTGCTGACCCCTGTTCTACTGACCATCTGTCCTCTGTCCTGCTAACCCCTGTTCAATGCCCTACTGACCCCCTGTCTTCTGTCCTGCTGACCCCTGTCCTCCATCCTGCTGACCCCCTGTTCTAAATCCTGCTGACTCCTGTCCTCTGTCCTGCTGACCCCCTGTTCTCCATCCTGCTGAACCCTGTCCTCTGTCCTGCTGACCCTTGTCTTCCATCCTGCTGGCCCCTCTCCTCTATTTTGCTGACCACTGTCCACTGCTCTATTGATCCCCTGTACTCAATCCTACTAACCCCTGTCCTCTATCCTGCTAACTACTGTCCTCAACCCTGCTGACCCCTGTCCCCTGTACCACTGACTTCTGTTCCCTGTTCTGGCTGACCTCTATACACCTCCCTACTGCCCTCTGTACTCTGTTTGCTAAGCCCTGTTCTCTGTCCGGCTGACTCCTGTCTTCCATCCTGCTGACTCCTGTCCTCCATCCTGCTGACACCTGTCCTCTGTCCTGCTAACCTCTGTCCTCCATCCTGCTGATCCCTGTACTCTGCCTTTCTGACCCTATTTCCTCTGCCAGGCTGATCCCTGTCCTCTGCCCTTATGACCCATCTTCTCTGCCATACTGACTCCTGGGCTCTGCCCTGCTGACCCCTGTGCTCTGTCCTGCTGATCCCTTTACACTGCCCTGCAGGTCCTTCTCCTCTGCCATGCTGACCACTGTCCTCTGTCCGTGTGACCCTGTTCTCCACCCTCCTAACCCCTGTACGCTGCCCTGCTGACCCCTGTACACTAGCCTACTGACCCCTGTCTTCTGCCCTGATAGCCCCTGCTCTCCACTCAGCTGACCCCTGTACTCCGCCCTTCTGACCCCTTTACATTGTCCTACTGACTCTTGTACACTCCCCTGCTAACCTCTCATCCTCTTTCTTGCTGACACCTTTGTACACTGCCCTCCTGACTCCTTTTCCTTTGTCCTGCTGCTCCCTGTACACTGTCCTACTGACTCTTGTACACTCCCCTGCTAACCTCTCATCTTCTGCCCTGCTGACCCCCTGCAAACTGCCCTGCTAACGCCTTGTCCTCTGCCCTGCTGCCCCCTGTACATTGGCCTGATAACCCACTGTACACTTACCTACAAATTAATGGTCTCTGTACATTGCCCTACAAACTGCTGACCCTATCCTCTGCATTGCTGATCCCCTGTACATTGTCCTGCTGACCTTGCATCCTCTGCTCCCCTGACATTTTTTACTGCACCCCCCCACATCAGACAGGCTAAGTCCAGCCCTGCTCCTTGAGCTATTGTGAAAGGCATGCAACGGACCATTGCAGCTTGAATTCAGAACTAGACCTTCTTATTTTTTAGAGCTGAAGATGGTGCTACTTTAACTTCTATTTAGGTCTGTAGTTAGCATTTTGCTGCACATATGACCTTGTCATGGAAATTTTGTATTGTTGGTCGAACTTTAAATGTGTCATATATGAGTGTTATTCATATGTCTCTCGTGTGGCTTAATTAAAGCTCTGAAGGCTGCAATTGGGCCATGCGCATGTACAATGTATGTATTACAGTACTCAGCTCGGTAATGGATGAGATGGCAGATCTGCGCTTATAGACCGGCGTGTATACCACCACGGCATTCGATGCGAATGCCGCTGGCAGTAGTAGACCGTGGGCCTGTATCCACATATCAGCAGCATAGTACCATATGGACTTCGTAACGCAATGCGCAAGCGGTACGAACTCCGCGTGTAGGCTTATGCATATCTTACAACCCATTACCGACCTGAACTGTATCTTGGATGGATGTGTTTTAATAAAGATCGTATCGGGCCCATCCAGGTACAGACTGATATTTCTAGGGGATGCTTGTACAGGGAATGGACATACTGCTAGGAGCTGGGAAATATGATCTCAGACGGCTCATGGAGGGGAAGGGGAGGAAGTCTGCTGACCTCAGAAGGCTCATGGGGGAGGACCAGTGATAGATAATAGGAAAGGCTATGCTCCAATCGGAATGTACATCCTGTGTATAGGCTCTCCCCATTGCATTGTTCGGTGGGAGGGGATTGACTTTATTCATGTGGGGGGCATGTGTGTATTTGTAATAAAACCAAAGGCTGAGTCTGAAGCCGGCCCTTATGTGAATTGCAACAGAAGCCTTAGAGTGTCGTGTGATCATTCTAGGGTAACGGAGCTCCACCCCCACATTTCAACAGAAGCTAAAGTAGCTGGATGGGCAGGAATCGTGTAGTTTAGCTGCAGTCGTCGTAAGCGAGATTCGCACAGCTTTATGGGGGATTTCTGCGCATCCAACTGCGAGTACTCACGGTAAGGAGAAATTCGTTAAAGCGAATTTCCAAGACAACCTGCTATGGCACCAGCCATTTAAGAGCTTCAAAGATCAGGTGAGAGCCAAAATTGTGAAAGTTTTCACCAGAGGCATGCTTTGAACATAACGGATTTGGAAAATAGTTAAATCTCAAATGGCTGATGTCATAGCTAGTCACATGTGCAGCACCATGGCAACTGCAGATCTAACTAGAGGCTAGGTATTCAGCTGCAAAAGGATAGAAGGGTTTAGTTCCACTTTAGGTATGGAAAGGGAAGGATTATTCTTAGTTGATTTCAACACTACCCCCCCCCCCCCCCCAATTCACTGGCACCCTTCACTCTCTTTTATCTTGTCACAGCTTTATTGGGAAGTTTACCTTCCCGGCAGTGTGCAGGTAAACTGATCTATGCCTTCTAGAGCCTCAAGTTAATTGACTGCCTTTCTGAGACTGAGGGTATCACAGTATCATGTGTCACATGCAGGGGTGGACTGACCATTCGAGCACTGGGGCACAGCCCGAGGGCCCGGGGTCAGTAGGGGGCCCTATGAGATGCCCTTGGTACATTTTATAGGTTTTTTTGGGCATGGTTTGAGTGTGGACGAGGACACATGGGCCCCATGATCCCCTATTGCCTGGGGGCCCCATGAGTTGTCAGTCCAACCCTGGCCACGTGCTTTCAGTCTACCATGCTATTAGATAGCTGTATGCAGCCATGTTCTTGTAAATGTGATGCTTTTGTACATTAGCATTGACCTGCACATTGTAAATGTGGCATTTTTGTGCATTAGCATGGACCTGCACATGTGCATCTGCCTTTTTTTTTCAACACACATTTAAAGTTGTATTGGAAAAAGAAGCATTGCTGTTTACAAGAGAAATACCATGAACAGCCATTCAATTGTATGGTAATCTGTACATGGCATGTGCAGCTCCCCAGCACCAGGAAATTATGCTACGCATAAAATATGTTTACAAAAGCCCTGTATGTAGGAACTCCTAATGTTTGTTTCGTGTCTACACTTCTGAGCAACAATACCTGGTCAAGGTTACAAATCCCTTTTCTTGGTAAAACAGTAATCATACATGTTTTAAATCATGTGTTTATTTGTTTGCCTGGAGCTCTGCTTTACACACTTTCTATACACCACAGTACATTTACTGTGGGCTGCAGCTACAGGCACCACGTTATACCCATATGTCCCTGTGACTGGACACAGCAAATCATTGTGCTGGTACCCGGCTGCTATAAGAGGCCAGAGTATCATGTGATCTCTATGACCAATGATAGCAACCACATGATCACTTGTAAGCAAAACTGTCATGAATGGCTTTCATTCATGACAGCTTGTTTTCTATTGTGATCAGGGGCGGACTGACAACTCATGGGGCCTCCAGTCAATAAGGGATCATGGGGTCCCTGTGTCCTTGCCTAAACTCAAAAAAGCCTATGAAAAAGGTACCAGGGGCATCTCATGGGGCCCCCTACTGACCCCGGGAACTCGGGCAGTGCCCGGGTTTCCAAATGGTCAGTCCGCCCCTGATTGTGATGCTGTATTGGGCCACAGCTATAATATGGTACTTGGCACCCTGTACCATGTGCTTAGCTGTAGCCAAGCACAGCACCACAACAGTAAGCAAGCTGTCATGTATAAAAAACCGTTCATGATAGTTAAAACTATTGCTTATAACAGTGATCATTACTGTAATAAGCAATAAGAGTGTAGAAAATATAATCCCTGATCACCCCCAGTGTAGTACAGTGTCACTATGCTGACACTGAACTACTCTGATGACAGGATGTAAAAAAAGAGTAAAGAAAGAAAAAAAAAAGTTTAAAAAACTGAATACAAATTATTATTATTATTTTTTTACATACTGTCACCAGTCAGTGTCCCTGATCACTGCCACACCAGTCATATGATGATGCTGCACTGCACTAGTGACAGTAATGTGAAAAAAAAAAAAAAAATTTTTCCATTTTCTAAAAAAAGTTACAAAAATTACAACTTCAAAAAAGTTGCCATGCCTCTTAATAAATACTTTGGACTGCCTACTTTCCAAAAAGGGGTCATTTTGGGGGGTATTTGTACTGTCCTGGCATTTTAGGGATTCAAGAAATGAGGCTGTCAGTACATCAGGATTGATCAATTTGTAGACTCTATAACTTTCACACCGACTAAAAAATATACACTGATTTGGATATTTTTACCAAATAAATGGAAGCAGGTGTCATTTTGGCCTAAACATAAGCAGAAAGATTATTTAATTGCAAGATTTCATAACAGAAATTAAGAAAAATGTGTTTTTTCAACATTTACTGTATATCAAAATAAAAAAAACAGTTGTGATTAAATACCACCAAAAGAAAGCTCTATTTGTGAAAAAAGTGATATAAATTTGGGTACAATGTTGCACGACCAAGCAATTGCCAGTTAAAGCAGCTGAATAGCAAAAAACTGTCCTGGTGCTTGGCTACAGCTAAACACATGGTCATGAAGGGGAGGGGTAAAACCTTCCAGAGGTCAAGGGGTTAATTTATTCTGTCTGGGGCACAAAGCAGGAAACTCTCACATATACTATGATTTCCCTTTTCAGCAGCAGTAGTATTTTCTCAAAACCTTTTTTCTAAACTGGTTTGTTTAAATTCCGTATATCAGTACTACAATATACAGTAAATACTAATGCAAATACAATATCAATTTATTTTTAGAATCGTCAAACATTTTTTTTAGTAATATTTGACAGCTGCAAGATATTTACCATGGAAATAACTATATAAAGAGCAGATATTCATACTTGATATTATTGTAAGATGCAAATTGATCAAATAAAAAGTACTTTTCTTAGATAAAAGCTGAATTCTTTCTTAGACTTTTCCAAATAGTAGATGGCAAGAACTACATCATTGTTGACATTGTTATGTATTCTGTAAAAGATTACACTTTCAGATGGCTTTGAGACTTTGTTTTCTTTTCTTTTTATTTTTGCCACTTTCTGCAAAATGATGCAAATAAAAAATCCATGTGTATAAGAATATTAATGCATACTCCATATTCATACATCCTCCAAAATGTCCCTCTTCATATTGGTACAAAAATACTCCAAATTCCTATCTGGACTCAAATCATGTGAATAATTTGTTTAAAACTAAGGTGATTTTAATTAGAAAGGTGGATAACCCATGGTAAGAGAGATGTTGTAACGTATCTGGTTGGGGAGCCTGACGTGGAGAGAGGGCATCCTCTTACCACTCCCGCTCGGGACCCCTGATAGGGTAAACAGAAGGTATCGAGCTAGGAGGGGCACGAGTACTTGACAGGTCTGCAGGGACACAGCTGGCAGGTGATGACCCGGAAGACCAGGATGCAGGTCGGTTGCAAATGCAGTTGAGCAGGGGCAGCAGCAGGAAGGTATAGCAGAGGTATGGACAACCGTGGCTGCTGGCAGCCAGAGATAGTCACAGGCAGGAGAAGTAGAAGCGTCAGACAAGCCGGGTCAGGATCAATCGGACGGATCAGGTAGTCAAGGGATGAGCCGGGTCGGTGCAGGCGTAGTTCAATCATAGTCAGGTCCAATCAGGTAGATAACAGGAGTCAGGATACAAGCACAGAATGCAGTAGACCAGAAGGAACCATTCTAAGTGATGCAGGGGTTTAAATAGCCAGCCTGTGCATGCCGGCGCGCACTGGCACAGCTGTTGGGTACCCGGCATTGGCGCATAGATGTGCACTGACGCAAAGCTTCTTTACACTGACAGTGCCCCCCTCTTAAGGGCAGCCTCCAGATGCCCAACGGGGCCATTCTCTCAGGGTGCTTATGTCTAAATGCCAAGATTAGATCTCTAGCGTGGATGTTGGATTCTGGTTCCCATGAATTATCTTCAGTCCATATCCCTTCCATTTAATTAGGTATTGGAGCTTATTCCGTCTTCTTTGGCAACCAATGATCGTTTTCGCCACATATTCTGCCTTATCATTGATGATTACTGATTCAGGTGGTTTTGACTTTCGGTCAGGAAAAGGGTTAGGAACTGAGGGTTTGAGTAGTGACTCATGAAATACAGGATGTATCCTTAGTGTTTCCGGTAAGGTAATCTCGTATGATACACTATTGATCCTTTTCTTTACTGTGAAAGGTCCCAGGAACTTGGGACCAAGCTTCTTTGAAGGACAAATCAATTTTAAATTGGTTGTAGACAGCCATACCTTCTCACCAGGTTCCAGGATCAAGTCCCCCTTTCTTTTCTTATCAAAGAATTTCTTATTGTCTTGTTGGGCTTTGAGGATTGCCTCCTGTAGTACCTTGTTGTTCTGTTGGAGGAACACAAAAGTATGCTGTACTGCTAGAATCGGTGATTCGGGCACAGTATTGGAGAAGAATAATAGATGGAATCCATAGTTTGAAAATAATGGAGATTGTTTCATGGCCGAGTGCTTTGAGTTGTTATAAGTGAACTCGGCCAAGGGTAATAATGACACCCAGTCGTCTTGGGAAAATGAGGTAAAGCAATGGATATATTGTTCTAATGTCTGATTCATTCTTTCCGTTTGCCCATTGGTCTGGGGGTGATAGGCAGAAGAAAATGAGAGTTCTATTCTTAGTTTTTCACAAAGTGCTTTCCAGAACTTTGAGGTGAATTGTACTCCTCAATCAGAAACGATATTTCGCGGAACTCCATGGAGTCTTACTACTTCTTTAATGAAGCTCTGAGCCATTTCTGTTGCAGAGGGTACTCCTTTCATGGGAGTGAAATGAGCCATCTTAGAAAATCAGTCCACCACAACAAAGATGACCGAACAACCTTCAGATGGGGCAATTCCACGATGAAGTCCATTGAGATCATCCTCCAAGGTTGGTCTGGGACTGGTAACGGCCTCAGTAGTCCCCATGTTTTGCTCCTATTGCTGTTATTACATATGCACATAGAACAAGAGTTTACGTAAGCTTTGCAGTCCTTCTCCCATTCAGGCCACCAGAACAGACGTTGTATTAAGTCTAGAGTCTTGTGGACCTCAAAGTGTTCTGCCAGGGAATGATCATGACATAATCCTAAAATCTTTAGCCGCACACTTTCCAGTGCGAAAATTCTGTCTCCCGACAACAGTAAACCCTCTCTAGCCTATAAGGTTACTCCTGGTGGTGAGAGGGCCCCCACTGACACCTGCTGGACTTGTGACAACATTTCTGTTTGTAAGAGACAGAAATTTCCTGCTGAAAGCACCATGTCGGGAATGGGAAGATCCCTAAGATCATCGAACATCTGAGACAGGGCGTCAGGTTTGACATTCTTGGAGCCTGGCCTATAGGTTATGTGAAACGTAAATCGTGAAAAGAAAAGTGACCATCAGGGTTTCAAACGTTTCGCAGTTTTCAGGTATTCCAGGTTCCTATGGTCTGTATAGATCAGGATGGGGTGTGCTGCTCCTTCCAAGAGATACCTCCACTCCTCCAATGCCAATTTGATAGCCAGCAGTTCTTGATCCCCTACATCATAGTTCCTCTCTGGAGGGGATCATTTGCAGGAAAAGAATGCTACTGGGTGTAGTAGGAGTTTCAGGCCCTGCCGCTGAGATAGGACTACCCCAACTGCATTCTCCGAGGCATCAACCTCCATCACAAAGGAGAGTTTCGGATCTGGGTGGCTT